TGCTGGATTCTTTCCAATTTTTCCACATCCTTCTTGTAGTGTGGGGCCCAAAACTGGACTCAGTACTCCAGATGAGGCCTCACCAATGTCAAATAAAGGGGAATGATCACATCCCTCGATCTGCTGGCAATGCTCCTACTTATACAGCCCAAAATGCCGTTAACAGTGTGCCCTTGTTGCCAAGAAGGCTGACTCATATCCAGCTTCTCGTCCACCATAACCCCTAGGTCGTTTTCTGCAGTCCTTAGGCTAGATCTACACTACCCGCCTGAATCGGCGGGTAGAAATCGATCTCTCGGGGATCGAATTATCGCGTCTCGTCGGGACGAGACAATCGATCCCCGAATAGACGCTCTTACTCCACCAGCGGAGGTGGGAGTAAGCGCCGTCAACGGGGAGCCGCGGAGGTCGATTTTGCCGCCATCCTCACAGAGGGGTAAGTCGGCTCCGATAGGTCGAATTCAGCTACGCTATTCGTGTAGCTGAATTTGCGTATCTTAAATCGACCCCCACCCTGTAGTGAAGACCTGCCCCTAGTCTGTAGCAGTGCATGGGATTCTTCCGTCCTAAGTGCAGGACTCTGCACTTGTCCTTGTTAAACCTCATCAGGTTTCTTTTGGCCCAATCCTCTAATTTGTCTATGTCGCACTGTATCCTATCCCTCCCTCCAGCATATCTACCACTCCTCCCAGTTTAGTGTCATCTGCAAACTTGCTGAGGGTGCAATTCACACCATCCTCCAGATCATTAATGAACAAGCACAAGCATAAACGATTGCACGGGATACCAAGCGGCACAGAATCAGGTCCAGTCAGGAGATCATTTTTTTTCCCCTCCCAGGATTGCTGGACCCTCCAGTGCAAGAGAAGGATGGCAATTGAGGGTATATAAGGATGGGGAGAGACACAAAGGACATGGAGGAGAGGGAACACCAACTTCCCTCCATTCCCTCTTCTCACAGAAACACACACCAGGTTTGGGGTACCTGGTCGCTAAGGGGTAAAAGGGCCCTGATCAAATGGTATTCAATTCCAGCTGGTGCCAGGAGGCGGCCAGGGGACCATGCACCCATCTCCCCACACCTGATAACCACACCGACTAGCTAGTCTCCTCTTCACAGCAAGAGCTCTTTGTACAACATAGCTGGCCCCAGGCCAAGTAAATCCTTATCAGGGCACTTCCCCTATCAGAAGTTCCCCTTCAACACACTCTCCACAGAGTGCTTGGTCACTTCCCATCCAGGGAGACCCACGGCGATACAGCCTGTCAGGGGCAGCGGGATGGATTCCAGCTGTAGAGGAGGTCAGGACTGACTGACCCTGCCTTGGGCAATTCCCGTTCTGGAGCCGTGGGGACACTGGGGAGCATCTCAGGGAGAAGGACATTGATGGAGAGGGGGAGAAGGCCCACTATGCATGCTGTGTGCAGAAAGGGCACGTGGTATTCCCAGCCAGCCAGCGGGTTCAGAGGCATGGGCTGGTCATGAATACAACACATATGTACGTGCACACACAGAGGGTTACATGCACACGCCAAGCGTTATGCACACAGATTATGCTTGAAGTAGAAAGCGCAGCCTAACAAACATTAATTCTGCACCCCAAAACCTCTCCTATCAGCAGCATCAATCCAAAAGCACAAGTGTGGGGGATGGGGGAGAGGTACACAGCAAGGCCCTAAGGCTGTAATTAAGGATATCAAGCGATTCTGGTTCACTTAAGAAACTCCCCACCACCACTTAAGCAGGGCGAGAGCCCACAGTTAGGGTTGCCAGCTTTCTAATCGCACAAAACTGAACACTCCTGCCCTTGCCCTGAGGCCCCGCCCCCACTCCAGCCCCACTCCCACCATCGCTCGCTCTCCCTCACCCTCATTGACTTTCACTGGGCTGGGACAGGGAGTTGGGGTGCGGAAGGGGGTGATGGCTCCAGCTGGGGGTGCGGGCTCTGAGGTGGGGTCTGGGGTGCAGGAGGGGGCTCAGGGCTGGGCCAGGAGGTTGGGGTGCAGGAGGGGGCCCAGGGATGGGGTGCAGGCTCTGGGAGGGAGTTAGGGTGCGGGAGAGGGGGCAGGGCTTAGTCCCTGTTCTTAGCCCTACCCGACTCTGCCAACAGGTAGAAGCAGAGACTGGATTTCCTAGCTGCCCTGGACCTGGGCCAGTTAAAAACTTTCCAGACCAGGTAGGGGTAGCAGCAGCGGGAGTCCACAGAGCCTCAAAACAGGTGAGCAGGGAAAGGCCCAACCCCTCCTGGGTGCAGGGTGTTGTGGGTAAACTGAGCTTGGAGGAATGGGGCGTTCCAGCCGGGACAGCCCTGCAAAAGGGCAACCCGGGCCAGCGGCCCCAACTCAGGTTTCCAAGAGCCACGTCCTCTGGGAGGCCTAGCGGCACTGCGGCTGGTTATTCTCCATTCCCCCAGCCCTCTGGTTATAAGGGAAGCCAGCCCCTTGCTACCCCGTCCCCTTCTGCGCCCTCCCCCAGACTTTTTGCCCCCTGCAAGTGTGTATGGAATTAACGCAAGTGGACAGCACCCAACTGACAGACTGGGAAAGCAAAACTCACTCTCCCTGCTTGGAACACGCTCAAGCCGGGCCCTGACAATCTGCTTTCACTCGCAGCTGAGGGGGATCGGCCTCCGCGGACCATCGTGTCTGGATCCTCTCCAAGAAGTCCACCAATAAGTGCATACGCAGGGGCGGGGCTAATAATATGGTGCCTGTTGGGACAGCCACTAGGGATTTCTCCCAGCTCCTTGCATGGGGGACACCCAGGGCAACTGTACTAGCAACTTCTGTCACGCCGGTGACCTGAAAGCTGTGACCACAACTTGAGCCCTCTGCCACTCGCCTCTCTGATGTCGCTCCTGCCTGAGGCAGCAGCATAGTGGTTTTGCTAGCATGACAGAGAAGTCACATCCTGCCTTTTTTTTTTTTAGCACAGTGTTAAAAAAGAGACTTCATGCACCCACTGGCCAGCCCATGCAGTTACACAGCCAGCTGATGGAATTAGCAGCATGCTGACACAGCCCGTGCGAGGGCTTGCAACCTTTCCTCAAGGTCGCAAGCACCAGGGAGGTACAGCAACTCACACTGGAGCGGTGCATGATAAATCTGTTCAGTCATTCAGCACCTGGTCCGCACAGCCCCGGCTCCG